AGTCACTTTCAGATTCCTACTGAGATCTGTCAGGATGAAAGAGTGGGGGTGTCTGAAATGTACTCTCACCTCAGTGTTCCCTGTGCTTTAAGTATTGATTCTCTGAGCGAGAGTCTAATTAGCTATTCTTATGGACTGTACTCACTGATGAAAATTGTGGTTTTGAGCCAGAGCTCAAGAAAATGTTCAGTTGTAATAATCCTCATCTTTATTTTGTCTCATTGTGTTTTTGAAGTGTTCTTGACAGGCTATTAACAAACAGCATTTGTAGACCTACTGTAACAAGATACATTGGAAAAAAAGGACGTGTTGTCTGTCATGTTCACTAGAATGCACAGATGTGGTTTGACACTGTTTTTACTGCCACAACAGCTTTAACTTGAAATTATCTGTGCATTTTGATAGCTGATACAGAGTCAGCTATCATGCTGGGGTTTTTCAAGGGATTAAATGTGAGTTGTAAATCCTATTACAGTCAGAACCAGTGAGCGAGCTTGGGGGCACATTCAGCTTGGACTTGCCCATAATCTCATTGCTCTGGCTCTAGTTATCTCACTAGGTTAGATTCATAGATCATTAGATCAAGTTACCCAAATCAGACCGTTTGATTAGCTTATGTGAGCAAGAAACCAATCTTTGCAGCATTGTGGCTGTTTATTCAAGAGTAGATGTTGACAGGACACAGCGGTGCACCATCAATCAGCTGCCAGACCTGTCTGGATCACATGAGTTATTGTTGAGGTGTCCGAAATGCTGTCGATGGAAGAAAAATGGGTGTGAGTGCTGTTGTTTTCCTTTGCTTGATTTACTTTTCCATGACAACAGAAGCAGCATAGAGGGGTTTTTCCTCTGAAGGCTGGAAAAGCCCTTCTCCTTTTCCAGAAACATCCAAACTGGGTCAGGCAGGGCTGGGGCTGACATGAGTCTGCAACTGCTGCTGCAGCTGTGCCCGTGTGTGTGTGCCCTCATACTGTGCTCTGTTTGCTTTGCGCTGAGCTGACTGAACATGTGTCTCTGCGCACAGACACAGACAGAGAGACGACACAACAGAACATAAGACAGCGAGGGAATAAGAGAGCTATAGAGGAGTAACTTTGTAAAAAGAAACCCACAGAACCCACAGCCTTTCTGTGACAGTTCAGCTTATATGAATAGAAGGCTTCTGCTGCAGAGCATGATCTGAGATCTTATGGTTCTGTTGCTTGTTGTTTTCCAAGGAAACCCCCCAGTTGCTGCCAAACCACCACTCTGTTTCCCTAGAAACAAAGAATTGGCGTGTAGAAACACACAGCGCTTCTGTTGTAAAAACTAACACCAGTGCGACTGGGAGAGTGCAACTGCAGGAGAGATTGGATATAAACAGCACTGTTGTTTCACCTTTGACTCTGTTCTAGATGGAGAGTATTCAAACAGGCGAGAAGAAATAAGAGGGCAAAAAGACAAAGTAACAAAACAGTGATGCGTCAGAGACCTTGACTTGAGGAATTCCTCAGAGATGTTTTCAAAGCAGTTCTGGATTTTAAAGATCATATCAAGCTAGAAAGTGCTGTCATTCTACATGCCCTTAGCTTTTCCTCTATATTCTTGAATCCAACATTTCTGCCCACCCTCTCTCATTGTCTTTGTCTCATTTTGCTCTGATTTTCTAAACTGCATCACAAAGCACAGGAATTTTAAAAAGTATACTCTGTGCTGTAAATAATGAAAAATATAAAATTGTTTGTAAGAAAATAGTTTAGCACAAATTCATCTAAAACCTTCAGTCTACTGGCCGCTAGTACATTTGACCTTCAGCATCAGTGGATTGACAGCTTTGTAAGAATTACAAAAACCCATTGTTATTTTAATGTGTCTGAAGTCTTAAATAATAATGTTCCTGACGTTTAAGAAGATGACTGACAGTTTAGACACCCCTCGGAATAGGATTATAAGTTAACCATCATAAATGATAGACTTACATCACATATTTTCCCATATTTTGCTTTGTTCTTCTTTTCACCTTTATTCCATTTTGATACATTAGTTAAAATTCTACAAAGCTCAGTTTCAGGCTACAGCTCAGAAATACTGAAGCCTGAAACTGAGGGAAAGTCCACGTGTATGTGTGTGTATAATGTGTGTTTTCTTGTACTTGCTATATAGTGAGGGCCATAAAAGTATCTTTTGCTACAGAGTGTGGACATTTTTGAAAATTGAGGACATTTTGGCTCCCCGTTTTGAGGATTAAGACTTGGCTTTAGGGTTGTGGTTAGACATTTAGGTCTGATGGTTAAGGGTAGGGTAAGGGGCTAGGGAATGTATGTCCTCACAGAGATAGAAATACAAGTGTGCGATATACTGGCTGGCTCGCCCTAGGGAACACAGCCAACATGATTTATCATACAATGTAGGAGCCAAGTCTGTACACACACATCTACACAAAGATGGAGTATTTACCTAACCAACAACCAGTTATGCAGTTTTAATTATTACAAATTGCTCCCTGCTGAGCTGTCTTCAGAATCACTCTCTCTCCCCCACATTGGTTAAATGCTGCTGATCAAAGGCATTAATTGATCGTAGGTTAGCCAACTTTGTGTGTCTGCACTAGAGCGTTTGCTCAAGGGAACTGTGTACTTATTAAAAATCTATATGAAAAGGTGTGTGCATTGCTTGTGTTTGTGTGGCGGTGTGAGCGTTCCCCTGGTTCTCCCTGCTCCATAAAATCTCACCCATCTGCTCTGTCACGACATTGCAGGCAACATGGGTGTGGTCTTGAGGATATTCTGTATGATATCTGGTTGCTGAGTGCTTATGTGTGTGAGAGCATAATGAATGCATGAATCCAGCCATGTCCGTTGTTATGATATACTGGGTGGAAGATGGCGAAGAGAGAGGGGCTGAGAGTGATACAGGGAGTGATGCATCAGACTTTTTTTTTTTTTAAACTTCGATGTGTCCGCAGGGGCTTAAGAACTGTTTTTGATGCAACACAGTGCCTGGTATATGAAGTACAGAAGTGCTGCTAGTAGATTCATCCAGCCATGTCAATAAAAACAGCTCATTAAAATAAATCCTTCCAGATTTTTTTTACATTAAGAACATATTTTAACATTACAATATTATTTTAACATTGTAATAATTGAAACTGCATAACTGGTTGCTGGTTATAAACTCACAGAATGACAATGAAATTCCAGATCAAAGCAGAATGCCAAGCATTTGTTGGTTAGTGTGAGATTTGCTCCGATGTGTTTGATTTTTAGCCTTATACTGTATTATCTTTTATAGCTGGACGTCCGCTTGAACCAAACACAACAGTTAAAGATTCCAAATGTGACTACTTTGACACCCAATGTCACTATTTTCACACATTTTTTGGCTAAAATATGGCAGCCCAGTTTTGTCATTAAAAGAACAAGATACTGTAGATTAAAAGGTAATTATGATTTTAGAAGTATTCCCATAGTAAATCAAAATTATGAGATAAAAACTGTTAACCTCTAGAGTCCCTGCGTCCTCATATGAGGACCGCACAGCTTGGGTTTCCAAAGCTCAGGACTCTAGAGGTTAATGTAATATATAATAATTTGAACTTTTTAGTATATATATTGACACTTCATAACAAGTTTTCACCTTTTTAATACTGGTGGAAGTGGAGCTTCTATAATAAATTAATCAATTTAGAGGTATTTACAGCTCAATCATAACAAAACCTTTCCTAACAGGACGTTGTACAGAATCAGAACAATTAAAGGATGCCCAACCAGCTGAGTGTTGAAAAGTCATCTATACTAAGTTAATCAAAAACAAAAAAAAAGATGATGTCTTCACAGTGACTTCTGTATCTCACTGTGCGGCTGCAACAATTTGTACTTGTACTGAGTCTTACTGTAGACCAGAGATGCACTGTCCTATAAGCCTGCTCAGTGCACAGCTGAGGCACTCTGACAGTCAGCTTCTGCTATCGCCACCTTTTCCTTGTTCTGGTGAGACAACAAAGCAGCGCTGCTCTATACTGTTATAGCGGTTTTGCTCATATACGCCAGCAGAGAGGCGTTTTCTCCCCTTTTCAGGCAGCAGGGAAAGGTCTCAGAGCTTCCTAATGCCATCACCTAACAGAGCCATTTCAGAAGAGAATGCCTTGAGCAGTACACCGACAGGGGAAAAAAAAGCCTTTCTCTGCCCTCAGCAAGATGTCTTGAGTTCTCTTCTGTGGCCGTGCCCTCTCTCTTTTTCTCTCCTTTTTTTCCTCTTCTGTCTCTCTATTACACACACACACACACACACACGCAGATAAAGAGAGAGAGAGGTGGAGTTGATTGTTCACCTCCCCGGGGCTTTCTTAGAATGAAATCTAGTATGATGGCTGTCTCCGCAATAAGGCTAATGTTGGTGTTATATGACCTCAATGGCTGTCTGTGCACAAACTCAGACACACACACTCCCAGATGAAGAAATATTGTCATAGAGCTTGAGCACTAGCAGTATTTTACCTTTTACCTTTATCCTTTTCAATTCTCCACTCACTTACTTTTTACATTTACACTTTTTGCATCCTGTCATTAAGCCCACAACTAAATTTGCAGCATGACTGGTTGAGCTGCAGTGGCCCTGGGCAGCTGACCCGCAGCCGTGATTTATTGTCACTAATCTCTGTTGGGTCAGCTACAAAGGATAGAGCATATCCTATATCCTGCACATTAAGGACCCAGAGAGGGTGCTGTTGGGTTCATTATGGGAGTCAGGTGGCCACAGATTAATTCTGCTGACTGTAATTATATGGCCTATCTCTGAGGAGGGTAGGGCGTATGTTTCCTGAAGGTTAGCTGTAGGATTTGTTTGTGAATGTACACAGGAGTTGGAAAGCAGGTCTTCTCAATGTGCATTGGTGTTTTGTAATTAAGATCCTCAGAAAACAGCAAATATTGTTAAATTCTTCAAGTTTAATGTATGTGGGTTGCTGTAGCAGTTCTTGTATCAAGCTTTTCATCTATTCTTTTTCTTTTTCTCTCCTGCAGATCCCCAGCTCAAGGGTATAGTGACCAGGTTATATTGCAGGCAGGGATACTACTTGCAAATGAACCCCGATGGCTCTCTTGATGGGACCAAGGATGACAGCAGTAATTCCTGTGAGTGCCTTGACAGTTGGCCTTCTAGATCAAATGCTTGTTATGTGTCTAGAGAATTTTGAAGAATTGCTAGCATAGGACACAACCAGCTAAATCATTTCAAATGCATATTTAAAAAAATGTAATTATATAGGGTCCTTGAACACAAAGCTTTTTTCCAGTGACACATAAGAATGACAAAAAAATGTCTTCTTATATGGCAGCTATAGAATCACACAGATTTTTCCTCTGCTCTGAGGGAAAGTGGACCGGGAAACAGAAGGCTTAATGGGGAGAAAAGGGTATTATTAGCTTGTTCTGGCACTGCTCCTCTAGCGCTTCAGGCTAGATGGTTAATTTGATTCCAGTGCTTGGTGCTAACGCTGGCCTGACACTCTAGAATGTGTCACTTACTCCTGTCAGCATGAGGAAATGTGGCACGTGTCACATCTGATAAGCTTAAGGGACTTATTAAAACAGCAGGCATTACATATAATGCGCACAAAGGATATATCATGTCATTAAAACTCCAAGTGTTTGCACTGACTGGTCCACATTACATTTTACATCTTCGTAACTGGCCAAAAGCCACTAAATGCTAATGGCCATGCTATAGTTCTCTTAGCCTTCCCCCCAGGCTCCAAACCTGCCACCACCAATTAGTCACAGGGTCAACAGAGATGTCTTAAATCTTCCATATACAGTACACACTTAATGTTGCAGCCTGGTGAGTCATGTTGTTTCTCACCAGTACAAACAATAGCCATTACCTACCAGTTCCAAGGCGTCTGCTACAACAACAAAAGGACTATTAAATCCTCCACGCACCAGTGGTGGCTCCAATTACAGTTACTTCTCAGGTAGCTCTGGGTGGCCCTGGCTCTGCTAGGCCAGTCACATTCACCAGCCATGCTGCAATTCATCTTCAGTGATTAGCTAAATGTAAGAGTCAGCATAGGTATTATCTGTGATTTGTCAAGCATTTATGATGGGCAGCTTCCATTTGGATTATGAATTACACCATAGTGATTTTCTCATTAGTTAATGTTCACTTAATGGTTAGGTCTCTCTGTGGTAATGATGTATGTGTGTTTTCCAGCTTTGTTCAACCTTATTCCTGTGGGCCTCAGAGTTGTTGCCATTCAGTCCGTGAAGACAGGGTTATACATCGCCATGAACGGGGAAGGCCATCTGTACACATCAGTAAGTGCCCTCTTCTATTCTCTTCTATTTATGCTATACTTGAGAAAGGTAACATTTATGGTTTGCTGTGCATACAAAAACCAACATTACACAAAATTCTAAAGCGTTATGCCAAACATGTTTGTATCTGAACTGCATGTATGTTCACATGTATAAAGAAAATTGAGATAGAGATATACAGGAAATGTACAGAAATTAGCTAAATTCTTAACATTTTATACAAGGGAGGCACTACAGTATTTCCAACAACATCCCTGAGCATGTCTCAAATATTTATTTGCAAACAGATAATTGCATTCTAGTGAAGGTTAGGGATCACATTAAAGAGATTTCTGTTCTCTAGGCTAAATGCTGTCAGTTTTCATTCTTCATGGAAAAAATATTTACACAAGTTGAGATAACTGAGAAGGGACACGTACAATATTTTGCCCCTCAGATGACACAGAGTTTGTACTATTACAAAGTACATTATAAAGTTTCAGTCTTGTGGGCTGTTAGTCTATGAAATTGAATTACTGTAGATGTCTGCTATTAGCAGAGAAATGCTGTTATCCCATGACATATGTGTAACATAACGAAATCATAACTAAAACTTAGTCAAATCCAGAGTGGTTTCTGGCCAAAGTAGGGCATCTAAAGAGCTGCAGTTGTTTCACTACACCGTATTGTAACACTCTGTTACTGACTACCTCTCTTCAAAATAAACTAGGCCTCAGCAGTCTAGACAGCCAAGGAGTGATAAGATCTCCCCCAACAAAGACAGAGCTTCCACTCTCACTCCTTTACCGTGTCCTTTCCCAGTCACTCCACTCAGTCTGGAAGAAGAACACTGGGAGTTGTGCTCCTCGAGTACCCATCAAAGTCAATGTCTCTCCTTCCCTCTCCTGCTTCATGTTCCTAATCCTCAGAGAGCAAAAGCTAATTGGTTGATATTATATAAATTTTTTATGCAGTCATTTCACAGATGTAGACACTGGAAGCAAGAAGTTTATTTATTTATTTTGACCTACACTGTACACAGGACAACAACAGCAACAGTCAAATCTCACAATTTGCACAGACTTTAAAAATATACAAAACTGCAAATAAAAAAACAAGGATACATTGTTAAATCAAATCTGAAACACAACTATCTGAATGTGTGGCTTGGTGCTATTTTTACATAATCAATTTAGATAGTTGGCTTAGAGTCGTGTATCTGTATTACAACTGATGCCCAGTGCATACGTTTTTAGTTACAGCTGCAGTTATTATAAATAAGTCTACACAAATTGACTTTCAAATAGATTTTTCAGTGTGTCATAGTGCACTTATGTGTGGTACAGAAACAGTACAGTGTCAAAGTGATCATTTCACAATAAAAGCACCTTAAGCCTAAATAGCTGACTAACTTTTTAAAAACATTAGTATGTCCACAGAGTGACCTTAATTTATATCACATGCCAGGTTGCAGTCCCTGTTCTGATCGCTGTTCTGTTTCGTCCACACAGATTTGTGTGTTTCGCATACACTCACGATTTTCCACGTTACTCCACTTGTCACATTCAGTAGTTCGACAGCTGTAAGTTGATCACTGATGTTTTGGCGTCTCTGTAGCAAGCTGCCAGTCTCTGCTGTGAAAACTCACATCTCAGTGTTTATTGCCAGACCTGCTTTATAGCTAATAAGTGCTGCTAATTGGTGTTCAGACTAATTCCCCTTGTACAACAGTATTTGTAACTGTGATTATGTTACATCAGTCTTATTTTATTTATTTATTTTTTGGTCCATTAGCCTGTAAACATGTTTAGTCCAAGCAGAAGTTCTATCAAGTGGGTCTTGGTGAGCACACGGCTCTTCTGCTCCATTTGCAGCTTTTTTTTTTTCTGTGCTAATGGACATTCTGATCAGACCCAACTATCCAGCCTCCCACTCAAAGGTCTCTTTTTGCTCCCTAGTGCACGAATTTCTCTGGTAATGACAGCCTTGTAAAATTTTTCTCACCCTCTTTCGTCTCCTCCTCCTGCTTCTTTCTGTTCCTCTCTCCTCCGCTGTAGGCAAAGTACAACAGTTCCTGTCATTATCACTGTGTTCCTTCACAAAGTAAGGATCTGGCAGTCGACCTTTTCTGCCCATTATGGGTATTTTCACAAACTACTTGAATGCATCAATGCATAAGAACATACTCTTTTGGAGTTTGTAAGGTACATACAGAGGACATGTGGAAGTCTACAAAAACAACTTGTATTCTTTCTCAGTGTGGCCTAATTTCCATAAAACCAGACCAATTTATAAAGTAGAATTCACTTGGTCAGTTTATTCTTTCACAATAATAAATACACTCCTGAAGCTTTTACTGTGATGACGTATTTTAACGATGACTAACGCTCATGCGGTGATTGGAAAGGAGAGTCCCAGTTTCAGAAAATAGATGGGAAGCCCATTCAGAGCCTCTGGTAGTGCATCATATTCTTTTGTGTGAGGCACCCAAGGTGCAGCGTGCGTCTCGAATGACAGAGATAGCATCAAAGTGACTGTGCAGCCTGGCACAAAGGACACACCATGGAATAAAGGAGAGTTCAATCATCTCACCCCTTTTCAATCTGGTCCTTTTGTACCTCAGCCAATAAACTCCTGGCTAATTTCACCTCCCGGCTGCTCCCCGGGATCAGGCGTTTCTTCTAAACTGTAATAAGAGGAGAGGAAATCTCCCAGCTTATTGTAGAAAGACTTGACTTATGGTAGTTGCTAGATAACTGTAAAAGAACTTTTTATGCAAAAGCTGGCAATTTTAAATGAGATGAAACATGGAAACCTTAATTATTCTGTAGGGACTCTGATAAAAGCAAACAAGGGTCTATTGTATTGTATAGTGTTTTTTGCACACAATGAAATGGTGCTGCCTGAGAATGCAAGTGCCTAGAACTGATTTTGTCATTTTTCTGGCCTGCTAATACAGTCTCTTACCATCTCTCAAGTGTAAAGGTTGGGCGTTTCATGGTTGGCTGGTTTTCTTTAGAGCTAGTTTCTCACTCCCTCACTCAATGGAATCTCTGGCTGCTGTTTTTTTTTTTTTATCAGGGGCCTGCACTTGTTAGTGCTACCTTTCACGAGTGTTAAATTGACTTGCCAAAACACTTGAGTGGGCATTTTAGAAATAAAATCCTTAAAAGGACCAATTGGGAGAGGTGCAGTGGCTTTAGCTTCACTCGTTAAAGGTGATATCATCAGCCTTAGGAACACAGAAGTCTGAGGGCATCTCAGTTTAGTTTAAATGAAAGTTTCATGTGAGGCCTCCTCCAGTTGAAAATGAAAGTGCATGGCAGCTGTGTGTCGGGAAGAACGAAAGAAATTGTTGGTTTGAAACCAGGAGCGAGGAGTCCCTCAGGGTCAGGTATTTGATATTTTCCTACATTTGTATTCACACTAACACTGCTCTCAAGCAATCGGACTATGGGAACATTCTAACATGGTTGTCCTTGCTGAAGTCGTGGCATTTCGGGGTGGAGAATTCACTTCCAACCGATATATAACAGCCTTTCAGTGTAAGATCAGAAGACCAGTTTTTATGATCAGGGCACATTCAGATTGTATGTTTTCTAGGTACAGTACAGTGCCCATGCATTTTTATAGCCAATGCTGCTGATAGGATAAGGCTATTGTGTGACTGGCCTGATCACACCAGCATATATGGTGACATTTTGTAGAAATCAGTTAATTTCACTGGAAGCATCACAGTCACTGAAGGAAATCTGTGCCACTCGTGTGTGTCAGATTAGACTTTGGTGGCTTTGAGTTCCAAATCCGGTGCCATTTACCAAATGCTTACGGTCTTGACAGTGCTTGACCTTTGAGTTAACAAGACAGTCAAAAAAAAAAAAAAAGAGTGGAAGCTACCTTAATTTAATAGATGTGTTGCACTGTACATTCTGCTGGAGTATAAATTGCTCCATAAAAGAGGTATGGCTAGGAAACAAGAATCAGTGGTACAAATATGTGTCTCGATTAAACTATGTGAACTTACTGTATTATTATCTTAGTTGGAGCTCGGAGCCGTTGTGACTCATAAGCCCAGTAAGACATCATGTTCTCAAGTGGTTAGCATTTTAGCAATTAGCTTTCCAGCTATTTTATCCACAGGACTGGCAAGTAAAGTAATGACCAGGACTTAAGCTGAAAGAAAGAGAACATAACAAAACCTGACTAAAGCTGTTCTAGATATATACCTGCCACATATGAGCATATACAGTATGTAGTATAGCCTAAATATAGCTACATGAATATTCATGGAATTTTGATATGTACTATAAGCGTGTCTTTTTTTTATACTTCTGGGGTTTGAAAACTGGGAACACACCATCTATGTGGGGATCAGCCTCCTTTGTTGGGACTCATCTCAATTTTATCTCCTGAGGAGTGTCAGGCTCAAAGTTGATCAGTGAGGGGAGCCTCATTATTTCCATAGCATTGCTCTCTCCTGCCTTTAACGCGGTATCAGTGTCTGGAAGGGTGGCAGTCATTAGGGCTGGGGTGAGAGCTGCTTCATGCATTAATGAACGAGGTGGGCATCAAAACTGAACTGGTGAACTGCTGGTCAGAGTCATGAGGACCCAAAACAGTTCAACATTTAACATCTCGGTTTGCTGAACATGTTCCTGTTCTTGAATTGTACTTTGCAGCACAGGAATATGTTGCCCACTATAAAACAATGAATCTCCCCACACTGTGACACACAGTTGATTTGTCCTCCATTTGTTTTCATGTCATCAGCATAAGGTCTATTTATGTCACCTCTACCCCTGTCCTTCAATCACTCTGTTAGTCCTCTGTTTATTTAAGGCAACTGAGAGTCAGTGCATGCAGCTGGTTTCCGAATCACTGGTTTACATGACACATATTTATGATATACAGTATACCACAGCAGTGACTGAATGTGTTGGGAGAAATATTAGGAATTATATAATAAATCAAGAAAGTCTCAGAACAGATCATTACCATTAACCCGCCCAGTTTTCTGCAGT